TGAGCTCTCTATGTTCTAGAAAAAATAGTGTCTCGAGATAGAACAAAGACTGTGGTGTCTCAATATTGAATAGAGACCGTCCAATTTTTTAAGGCCAGATCAAGCAGTCAAAAAACTCAAAATTTATTTTTTTTTTTTCTTTTGAAAATAATCATCTAGTTATTTTTAGGTCGTTCCCAAAATTTCATACCGAAAAAACCCTATCAAATAGGACTTTTGAGTGAGGGAGGAGTTGCACAATATGCTCTTATAGCATACGGGCTCTTTTATTTTATAAATATAACTATATTGGTCTAACCGTTCATTTTTTTTTTTTGGATAATTATATATTGGAAAGTATAAAATGAGATCATTTATCTTTGATACAAGATGGTCAAATTAATCTTAACCATTGGATGTGAAGTTGAGCGGCTGCAATTATTCTATTGACCAAGCTCAAACCTCGTGACACATACAAGTTATCAAACCTCTTGACACATACAAGCTCAAACCTTGTGACACATACAAGTTATCAAATTTCACATCAAATGGTTGTAAGGAATTGTGACCAGCTTATGCTGGTCCGTTAGGCTCTGCTACGGCCAATCATTCGGAACTTGCCTCATTGCTGCAACATATTAAGCTCTTTATCTCCAAAGACATTGGCAATAGTTGCATTTGTGAAGGTGATTCGCTTAATGTTGCTAGCTAGTGTAAGAAGGAATTGTGCATTCCCTGGAAGTTCATGTCTATCTGGTTGGAGATTATGGATATTTCAGCTCTCTTAGCTATTTATTTCTCTCATGCTTTAGCTGATTCTCTAGCCAAAGGTGGGGTTTCCCTGCCTTCTCTTTTGTTTTTCTCTGATGTAATCTCTTTTTAGTAGTTTCTCATTAATAAAAGTTGGAACTTTTGTCAAAAAATAAAAAAAATTGTGACCATCTTGTATCAAAGGTAAATAATCTCATTATATACAAGGGTGAAGTTTGCATACAGATGCATTCGTAGGTGTAGAGGTAAGGTGCACCTTCAAGTTATATAATTTTGATGTAAAATGTTCTTAGAATTATCTCAAAATTTAATTTTATATCTATTTATAAAATTTTAAATTTCAAAAATGGTTAAAATCAAGTAGATCTATAAACATATGAAAATCTTGAAATGGACGGTGTAGATAATATGTTGTAACTTGCACCATTTCTAAGACTTAAAATCTTTTTATTTTTCATAGTCATATATCTCGATGTTACAAATTTCAACATTAAAACTACCTTTTTCCGATGGATCTTTTCCGTAGTTCTACATTATAAGATAGCATCCTTATATAAACCTTTTCCTATATACAATCCCATTATATATTGTTTGTTTGAAATTTAAGAAATGTGGATGACATAATCTCTAGAGAAATGTACACTTATTATCACCTGTAAGTACTGTAATTATGAGAAGCTCCCCTGATTTGTATATATTATGTACATATTCCTTTTGTTTGTTATTCTTTTATTCCAATTCTTTGAAAATACAAAGTCACCACGCATTTTCTATAATCCCAGTCTCTCGTTTTTTTGTATTAGTCTTTTTTAAAAATAAAAATAAAAATATGGCGTCACCTAGTATCTTGAAAATCCTGAAGTCACTATTGACTTCAAATTTTGAATATCCGAAGTGACTTGGAAAATCTCTATTTCCATGCAACTTCGGATATTAAAATTCTGGAGTTTCCATGCAACTTCGGATATTAAAATTCTGGAGTTTCCTTGCAACTTCGGATATTAAAATTCTGGAGTTAAAAGTTATTTTATGTTTTCAATATCCGTAGTCATTATTTTTTTCAAAAGAAACCAAAGTTACTTTAGATATTAAAAATTTGAAGTCACTTTTGACTTTAGATTTTGAATATCCAAGTGACTTAAAAAATCTCTACTTCCATATATCTTCGAATATTAAAAATCCGAAGTTAAAAGTGACTTCGGATTTTTAATATACAAGTGAGTCTGCTTTTCCCCTAAAAATGGTTTTAAGAAAAATAATATGACTACAGATATTGAAAATTCAATGCCATCTGTGACTTCGGATTTTAAATCTTCAGAGTGAGGGTAAAATTGAAATAAAAACTACATACAAAAGAGATATATATGTAATATACAAAAATTAGGCTTTTTGTAATTACAATATTTATATAAAATATAAGCTCAAATTTCTCTAAACTCTATTATATATCCATTTCTTTCAAAAAAAAAAAATGGCTACATGATGCACTTTTTTTTAATATATTAATGAATAGAAAATGACTAATTTTTTGTCTTATTTTGTTTTCACCATTTTCGGTTCGAGTCCCTCCTTGAACCAAGACTCGGAGCTGCGGGTGTCTAAATAATATATAAAATAGTATTTTATCATTAAACAATATTTTTATAATGATTTGGAGTTCCTAAACCCTGTTTAAACATTTTAAAGCTTTTAAAAGTTTGTTTAACTTTATTTTAGTTTCTTAGGAAGGACCAATCCGAGTTGCCCACGTAGAACCAGTGAGTGACCAATTCGATCCAGTGGTCCTTTTTAAAACACTGCTGATAAAATATTCAAAAAAAATAAAAAACAAATAAAACTCCCCTAAATTATGCTAAGGGTGTGCTATGAGACATGAAATATGGCTAAGGGTGTGCCATTAATCATCCATAATGCTGAATAATTTTTTCTCGAATTTTGTGCATTGCTTTTAGTGTCCAATGGTGAACTTGTTATAGAAAAAATAGACGTTTCATAATATACATTTCATATTTTTAGTGCAGTGCAAGATGATCACAATCGACTCTTAGAAGGAAAATTAGGTAATGTGCAAGAAGATCACAATCGACTGTTAGAAGGAAAATTAGGTAATGTGAGATGTGTTATTGATTGAACTCAAAGTTTCAAGCAAAATATCTCAAACATTGTAACACACTTTATTTCGTCAGCTTTCACATCTAATGGTTAAGAATAATTGTTACTTTTATATAACTATAATAGATGGTCTCATTGTGAATAACCTGGCTTTAACAGTAGTATTGTCAAGCCCCATAATAATGTCTCATATTCCATTCTCACCAAAGGATCAAGGCCCAAATCCCCACTTACTTTACTACTTCAGAAAAAGAGCCAAGGCTTAATTGGTTAGCGCTCGACAATATGCAACGCTACATCCTTGGCTCAATTCATACAAAGGGTCGTGGCCCTCTCTGGCTCTCCCTCCAAAAAATAAAAAAAATAAAAAAGATGGCCTCATAGTATACAATACCTAAGAATAAACAATCTTATTGTAAACAACTATATATTTTCAACAAAAATATAGGAAGTATAGTATTGGATTCTATCAAAGGTTGGGGTTAGTAATGGGAGTTCGCTTGTATCTTCTCTGTGAGCCAAGGCCCGTGACTTGTGGGGTTGCCTTCCGAATAAGGATAGCAAAATAGATAAAATAGATAAGAACATCCCTCAAAAATATGACAATGCCTATCCTATCCCAACTTTGCTGGTAGTTTTAATTATCAACTGAATCTAAGGAAAACTCTATTGGCAAATAATTAACAAAAAACAGAATATGCTTGCTCAAAAAAAATAAAAGAAAAGACTGCCAATTTTACAATTAAATGTGAAAAATAATAAAGCCTAAATTTGCCTCTAAAAATTGGACATCCTTTTCTTGGGAGGAAGTATTTCGTTTTAAAATCTAGCCCACCATTTTTAGTGAAATATTATAACCTAAATTTGAAAAATTAACAAATCTTAAACTTACCTCTAAAACTTGGAAAGAAACACGTGCATGTTTTTGTAAATGTTGAGGTTTGTATAGAGCCGAGGCTCTAAACAATCAAAATAAAGCGGACCTTCAAATAGTGTAGAGAAATATGGTTTCAATTATGGAAATCTTTGTAGTAGCTTTAAAATATATTTTTATTTTTAATTATAATAAAATTTACAATTTTATAAATAGTGTAGATCCAGCAGATCTATGAAAATTGAAAATCTTAAAAATTGACAGTCTAAAAATACGTTACAAGATGCACTATTTTTAAAACTTGAAATCCATTTTTTTCATGTACATGCATTTTGATGTTGAGATGATCAATTTCAGGATATTTGATCATCAAAACAACTTCTTTTTATGAAATTTTTAAGTTGCACTCTAATTTGACTATTTAGAGCCTTCGCTCTACACCTCTCTTGAGAGTTAAATGTCAAACTAATAGTTCAGTTCACATCCAAATTTTGGAGTTTCTTTTTTTTTGGGAAGTAATGCCTCCATCATAGCCTCAAAGAGTGAAAGTAGAAAACTGAAGTTACCCCTAATAAATTGGCAATGTCTAATTGGGTCCTAAATCTTGATGAATTCACTGTCTAATTTCTCAAACAAATCTCCAGCATATTCGTTATACTAAGGGAAAAATTTTTATTGCCATCTTGGTCAATGCTTAAAAATCTAGGTTAGAGATGAGTTATAGATCTAAAGTTTTATTGTTTAATAATCTCGACCACAATAATCATGAATTTAAAGGAAAAACATCATTGGAACGTGATTTTCAAGTTATAAAATGTCCAAAAGTAGAGTTTATAACAATTTAATTTTTGAGATTTCTAGGTTTTAGATTTCACCTTTTATAAATTGAACCGATTCTATTCAACCTTAAGATAATGCAATTTAACAAAAAAATAATAATTTATTTTATCGAGTATACCATATGGATTGAAGCTAGTATACCACATGGATTGAGGAGATTACATGTCTAAAAATTTAAAAAGTAATCCTCGGTTTTGCCCAAGTGATTAAATAGACAAAATGCTCCCTCAGGAGCCTGAAATCTTTTGACTTTTCCCTTGCACTATGGGTTGCCAAAATGAGAATATTGAGAAGGTGTTTTTTAGGGAATTATCAGTATTGTAAGGGTAAAAAACGGACAACCGTTATCCGTTTGCTCTGCACCTCAAGCGATAAAACCAGGTGTACCGTGCACTACATGCAAATACCCAAAACAAATAAACAAATATAACAATCAATTTCAACGCATTTAACCTATTTTTCGCGTGAGAAAAATTTCCGCACAAGAAACAACCACCATCTCTCTCTATAAATATAACCCTAAATACTTCATTAACACACCACAGTGCACGCCATGGCTTCTTCTCCTTCTCAAATAACTTCTCCAGTGAGTAAAGTTATCAATCTCACCTCTCTTTTCTTTTTTTTCAAATAGATTTCCAGTCCATTTTTCATATGTTGGGTTTTTTTTGCAGGTTTGGCTTTTAACCAGAGTTTTAATCTTGGTTTCGGCCTTTTTCGCGGGAATAGATGGCCGGAAAACAAAACTTTCCGATGAAGGTTTCACATACTTTCAACCAAGATGCCGGACCCACGTCGCGTCACTGACTGATTTCGGAGGGGTGGGCGACGGAGTCACGTCGAACACGAACGCTTTTCAGGCAGCGGTTTCTCATCTGAGCCAATTTGCGTCCGATGGCGGTGCGCTGCTCTACGTTCCTCCCGGAAAGTGGCTCACCGGGTGCTTCAATATCACCAGCTTCTTCACTTTGTATCTTAACAAGGATGCGGTTATTCTTGCTTCTCAGGTTTTTTATTTCTCTGTTTTCTTTTTTTTTGTTTTCTTTTTTTTATTTGGTTTCTTTATTATAATCGCTTTCTTTTATGGTCCTTATTTTTGTGTATTTTAAATTACTTTTTTCACTCTCTGTTTTTTCGGGCGCTGTATTTGCTGGATCCCAATGGTCCTGTGAATTTTTCCGGCGATGGTTTATATTCTGCAGTAAGAAATGACGGGGATACCCCTGCCTTCCATGTTAATGACATGGTTTCCTTTTTCTTGGGAAAAGTTTATATAGAGCCAAGGCTCTAAATAAATATTTTAACTAGAATAGGAGGTTTTGATACTCAAGATGCATGGACATGAAAAAAAAAAAGAATTGCAAGTTTCAAAAATAGTGTATTTTGTAGTGAGTATTTGAACCGTCAATTTTCAAGATTTTTAAGTTTTCATAGATATGTCGATTACACTATTTTTAAAGCTTTAAACTTTATAAATAAATATAAAAATATATTTTAAGGCTATTACAAATATTTTCAATATTAAAACCACATTTCTCGACACTATTTGAAGGTAGGCTCTATAGATCAAACAGTAAGTAGTCACTCAATTTTAACTTATTTTCATGAAGGGGAAAGCTCTTATTTTCTTATAGTAGGTATTCAATGGATTGGTTTTTGTGTGCTTTATTTAGTTAGATATAGATAGTGCTTGCTATGATTAAATTTTGGGGCAATCTTTTAAAGTTTGCACCTTTATTAATGTTGAATAATAACTCTTTTTGGGTAATATTTTTGCATTAACCTAGTTTCTAATATTTGCAGGGACATGTTTATACATAGATTATTGATTGATATATATTTTTATTTCCTTTTAATTATTGGGAGCAGGACATGAATGAGTGGCCGATAATCCCTCCTCTACCTTCATATGGGGTGGGAAGGGATACCCCTGGCCCTAGATATAGCAGCCTCATCTCAGGCTTCAATCTCACTGACGTTGTCATTACAGGTCTCTCTCTCTCTAATTTCCTTTTCAATTGATTATTATCTTAATATTTTGTTATATTTTTTCTTCCATTTTTTAATTTCATCTTAACGGCTAATCATGTGTAAATGTTGAATGAAGATTATTAAGAATATTATGCTTCTTAACGAGTAATTATGAGGAAGATTATTAGAAATATGCTTTTCTTAGACAGTCATAGGCTCGGCCATGGGCTGGGCGGCCCGGGACCAGGGCAAAACAAAATTTTGATTTAAATCCAATCGATTCGAGGGTATTTTGATCGCAAAAAAATTTAAAAAGATGGGCTTTTGTGAAGAAATCCGGGGGTATTTTGATCATTTTATGGGGCTATTTTCGTCATTATCGAGATAATGAATAAAGTCTCCGAGTGTGGAAATCAGGGATTTGGTTTTACTTAAGAAAAATGACCAAACGTAAAGGAAGACCATACACAAACGGTTATATACATCATGGGTCCGTTAATTAGGGCGGGCCTGCAATGGACCGCACTGGAAAAACATAAAGGAAAAATAGCTTTGGCCCGGTCCTCATGGCTCTAGCATAAACCCAGTCTACCTGTGGTGGTGGGCCGGCCGACTTGCACACCACATTTTGTGGCCCAGGCCGCCTGGCCCATTCCCCCATTATTGGGTAGGGACGATAAACGGTCCTTCTTTATTGTTAGTACTTACTCTCTCCCATCGTGGATGTATTATTATACACCACAGGTGTATGGTGAACCCTCGAAAACAAAGACACCCTAACTGAGCGATGAAACCATAGAATTGCCTTTATTCCCAAAAAAGTGAGAGCCATCATCTAGGGAATGATCTCTCTCTGGATGATTGATATCTCTTTTTCTCTTTCACTCTGGTAATTGTGACCAATGTTATCAAATTCGTTTATCTTTGGCAAAAAATGTTTAAGCTTTTGGATTTTAAGCATAAACATAGATCGAAGCGAAGAGAAGCGTGGTACTACCATTTTAAGGTGTTTCAGTCAAAAAAATAAATGCTTATATAAAATATTTTTTAAAATTTTTTAAAAATTTTTGCCATTATTTTTATATGTTAATATATAATTTATTTATATTAAATTTTAAATAAAAAAACAAAGACAACCCCAAATTTTCCGAAGCACCAAATTGCTTCATTTTTTTTTTTTTACCAAACCGATCAAAACTGTGAAGCAAATCTAACAACATTGATTGTGACATCCTTGGATTAAAGATAAACGGTCTTACTGAATACAGTCTCATAATATTTAAGAATATGAATCTCAGGTGACAATGGTACAATTGACGGTCAGGGACAAATGTGGTGGCAGAAATTCCGCCAGGGCGCCCTCAAACACACAAGAGGTTACCTTATTGAGATATTGTTTTCGGACCAAGTCATCATTTCATCCCTCACCCTCATCAATTCCCCTTCATGGAACGTCCACCCCGTCTACTCCAGGTCCTCTTCTCCCTCTCTCTCTTTTTGAATGTTAAAACTAACGATAAGGATTGAACTCAGGACCACTTGTTAAAACTAACGACAAGGATTGAACTCAGGACCACTCATAAAGAAGGGCCGGAATACATAACAGTGTGCCTTTTAAGATCTCTCTCTATAGTGACATTTTTACTTCGCATTGAAGAGTGTGTGATGATGTTGAATTTTGTTGCAGCAATGTTATTGTGAAAGGCATCACCATCTCTGCTCCTGTGACTTCCCCCAACACTGATGGTATCAACCCTGGTGAGCGTCTTACAAGCCTCCATGCACTTCACCCTAATTGAGAGGAGCTACCCACCTCTCTCTCTCTCTCTCTCTCCCCACTTGGGCGTGCAACCCATCCATCCATCTTAATTTGAAATTTGTTTTCCATTCCCACCCCAGCTTACTTAAGCACATTTCCATGTTCATTCGAGTTTATTCCGTCAGGGCGATTATACTATAAAATTATAATTTTTTCAAATTCAATGTGGTCAAAGTGGGGTTTGAACAAAATCTTATAAAATTTGAACAAGGCATGTCCTCAAAAAAATTAAGTTGGATTTGAATTTTAGAAGAAGCAATAGAGGTTGTCATTTATTTCTTTAATGAAGTTGGTGGCTAGATTGAAAAGGGGACATCCTAATTTAGTCTTAAAAGTAATCATCAAGTCAAATTGAAACCAACTCACGAGAATAGGCTCTAGGCTGAAGCTTTCATAGTGGAAGGTTTGGGCTAAGTAAATCCTGACTTGAACATTGAAAAATAAAAATAGAATGGTACCCAATAACGAAGGTTTATGCTATGCAGCAGGGCTGCTCCAATTCACCTGGGTACAGGTACAATATCCACCGTTCATCATCGTGTATGAACGGTGGATACCCTTTTGGCATGAATCTTATTTTGAAAAGTTAAGGCCCTGTTTGCAAGAGCATTTGAAAGGGAAAACGCCTTTTTCTCCACCCCATTCAGGAGTGAAAAAACACTGCAGCATTGTCTGATCCACTCTTCACGGATGAGCCCATTTTCTAATAACCCCTTTCTTAGTGGAGCAGTTGGGCTGTTCAAAGTAGTTAGACCTACCCACCTTGACTTTTAGTCTCTCTCTCTCTCTCAAAAGTGTAACCTGTTGGCCACCCCTACAGACTCGTGCACACACGTCCGCATCGAGGACTGCAACATTGTCTCGGGCGATGATTGCATCGCGATCAAGTCAGGGTGGGACGAGTATGGCATTGCCTTTGGAATGCCGAGCCAGCACATAATCATCCGCCGCCTGTTCTGTGTCTCCCCGTTTTCTGCTGTCATCGCCCTGGGAAGCGAGATGTCTGGTGGGATCCAGGACGTCCGTGCCCAGGACATCCAGGCAGTCAACTCTGAGGCTGCTGTCAGAATCAAGACCTCTCCCGGCAGGGGTGGCTTTGTCAAAGACATCTATGTTAAAGGAATGAACCTTGAAAACATGAAGTGGGTTTTTACCATGACTGGCTCCTATGGGTCCCACCCTGATAACAAATGGGACCCAAATGCATTTCCGGTTGTTTCTGGAATCAATTACAGAGATGTCATCTCTGAGAATGTCACCATTGCTGGTAAATTGGAGGGTATTCCAAAGGCTCCATTTGGGGATATATGCATTTCGAATGTGACGATAGGAATGTCGCCAAAGTCGAAGAAGAAGAAGCTTCCATGGAATTGCACATACGTGAGCGGGACGTCGAGCGGGGTGACGCCGACACCATGCAGTCTTTTGCCGGAGAGCGGGTATGGTGATTGCCCATTCCCGACGGATAGGGACCCGATCGATGACGTTGAGTTCCAAGCATGCTCATCAGCCTCTTATAGGCATAGCCATACTCATCCCCTGATTTATTGACTAATATATGAGTGCTTGTTGTGTTGGAGTCATGGTGTAGCTTACCCAACAAAAATGGTATAGCATTCGACTAAGGATGCTGCCTTTCTTTCCCTTTTTCCGTCTTCTGATATCTGTTGAAGCAGTGGAAAAATATTTATACAAATGACATGACATGCAATAGGAGAATGGGATGTGATACTTATCTCTGATGGATGCATAAAAAATTGGAAAATTTATAGAAAAAGCATTGTTTCACTTTTGTGACTTCCTTTTAATTCTACTTTTTTTATAATCACATAACATATATTTATTTTATTTTATTTTATATATTTGGTGATTCATTTATTTTTAATTTTTTTAAATATTTATTATGTGTGCAATGGTGATAGTTATGAACATACTCTATTTGAGCTTAAACAATTGTTTTAAAAAGTAGGTGAAATTAACATATGCTTTATGCTCTAAAAAAGAAATAGGAGTATTTTTCTCTAAATTTGTCTAGAAAGTTCCACAGAAACATAATTATATGATTGAGAAAATTAAAGATCTAGGTCACGGAAAGCAGCCAAAATTAAATAAATAAATAAAGAGAGGGAGAATGTTTTCTCTCTCATAAGCTAATGCAACAATTGTGCTGAGGATAATTCTATTGCTTCACCTCAAATTTGATAGCATCGCATTTTGTTTACCACTTGTTGAGGAATCTACTGATCTATAGAAGATAAGGTGTTCCTTTTTCTTTTTCAAACTCGCTAATTTATTCAATTGAAAACCAAAGGCAGTGTCCTATGGTACTTGGATTCTGCATTCTTCAATCTTGAAAGGTCCCATAGAACCTAAGTTTAACAAATCTGAAAGGATTATTAGCATCACTTGCAATTTCCTGAATTTCCTGTAACTCACAGTATTTAAAAAAAACAGTTTAGAACTTGAAATAGCTTTAAACTCATTTCTGCTTAAGATCAATTACTTAGTGATAAACAAACAATGAATTATACACGAGTTCTGCATTTTCAAGCTTGAGAGGTAATAGAACCTACCATTACCAAAGCAAGAATGATCAAATGGCATCACTTGCAATTTTCTGAATTCCCCATTACTTATTTCCATAAAGAACTAATTGAAACTTAGTTAAAATAGGTTCCAAATTAATTTCTCTGCTAAGAGAAATTACCTATTGTATAAACAAAAGATGAATTATCTATCCTACAATAATTGGTTCCGCATTTTCAAGCATGAAACGTCATAGAACCTGATATTATCAAATCCAGAAGTTTCACTGCATCACGTTCAATAATCTGTAAGATATAGCTCCTGATTAAGATCAGTAATTCATCATATACATGAAGATAATTTCTCCAAGTCTAAGGGACTGAAGTAGAGTTGTTCTCAAAAGCATTACCTCTTCATATCCGAAACTGAAAAAGGCAAGTCACACTTTACCGTACACAACTTCAAGAACTTATCTGAATAAGCAAAAGAAAATTACAAGGCTTACATCTTCCATTTCATAACTGAAGTTGTGCTACCCATCACCCTTCATATGAGACGGACCAAAACCTGCTCATGCTACCCAGTATACAACAAGCAAAGTAACTACTCCTGTCCCACATCATACAAAGAACCAATTGACAGGCCATGTATTGCGCCACAAATGAATTGATAAAAGGAAGGTCTTAAACTACTCATATGAGTAATAAATGCAATTGTGAAAAAGAATCAAAGAATCAATGGTCATGCCACACTGCTGCACCAATCACTTCTGTGTTATTCCACTGGTTAAGCAACCCAGTGATGCCCTTTATAGGCCAAAGCTGATAATGAACTAACACTACTTGCTATGGCTTCAGATCTGGGGAAAATTTCAAGGATTCCTCCCAAACAAGCTCCTTAAAATCTTCTATCGTTAATGGTAAATCGCCAAAATCAGCACTCAAAGGTGAGGTGCATGTTGGTTCATCGCTGATGTCATGTAGCTTTTCCAAGTATGGGTGGGCCAATGCCTCATCACCTGCTTAAAACATGACATTCACTAGTGCTGCCAAACTTGAAAATACAAAATAGAAAACAAAAACATCACCAAAACTTCAATTCTTAAATGTGAAAGTATACGGCACTCAATGGACTAAGAAAAAACACAGTTCACTGAATCATCACCGTCAGAAGAAATGAGATACAGTGAAGAAAGAATGGGTGGATTTCCCTCTCACTCTGACATTTAGTCCACTCCCTCTCTATCACTATCCATTCTTCCACCATATGGTGATGACATCAGACTATATCTCTGCATAGTCCATTGGATTATACTATCTTAGAAATTCATAAGATGAGAAAGCCAAGTACATGTGATGCGCTTATTTGGATCAAAGACCAGCATTTTCTCAACCAAGTCAATGGCAATCGGAGGTATAGCTGGAAATCTCTGCGATAATTGATGCTTGGGGAAATGTAGGATTTGTCGAACATATCTTCGGCGTGCTTCATCAGTTTGTAAGAACCAGAGGCTTGATTCATCAGGTGATCCAAGTAGCTTTTTTTGTTTTTGCATAAGAATAAAAAAGGTAGGGTATCAGACCACAATTCATTTGAACTGAATATCATATCTCAAGTTGAAACATGTCTTTTAGAGTTTTACCTTACAAATAAGCTGGAGTTGGTCGGTACTATTGGCACCTGGAAACAAATGTTTTCCAGTTACCAATTCCATGAATATACAGCCAACAGACCAAATGTCAACTGAATAAGTATATCTCGGGTAACCAAGGAGTAATTCTGGTGCTCGATACCAAAATGTCACCACTTCTGTATTCATAAGGGCTCTTGGAGAATTAATCCGCGCAAGTCCAAAGTCGCATATCTTAAGGGTACAGTCAGAACTCACGAGCAAATTTGAAGGCTTCAAATCACGGTGCAAGACATTGGCCGAGTGAATGTACTTCAATCCTCGCAACAATTGATACAAGATATACTGCCAAATTCAAGTCCAAGCATCACTCACCCAAATTTTTAATTTACCAAAAGATATAAAGAGTCTATAGTAACATATGCAAACGTCAGATAAACAAAAGGAAAGATATAATAAGATTTCTGGCTGGTTCTGAAATGGTATGAAAAACATTCCAGGAACTAAAATGAGCATGCATATCTTAATGATACTGAAAAAGAAAAACTCCACGTGTGCTGCCCCAACAGTTTGCAACAAGAAAAATGTGTTCTAGAGATATCTTTGTTTCCAATAATTCCTTCGAAAGTATTTGCAGCTAGTATTTTTTCACATTGAAATTTCAAAGAGAACATGAAATAAGAAAGTGAGGTTAATTTACATGATGAAGTCACAGCTTACAATAGGTTAATGATCGAGTATGAAGTCCCTATGTGTTCTTTTTAGATTCGTAGAGATTGACACTTCAAGTTGACTGTCAAAAGGGCAAACCATCTCATCCACATCATGCAGTACTTCATGAAACACATTTAACTAGGATGGATACAAACGCACACGAAATGATAGTTTCATCCAACTCCTGCCTAAACCAGTTGAATAGTAGTAGTAAGATCTCCATTTCTGTGCTCATACCCCAAACTCTGCCTAAATTTAGTTCATTCATCTTCCATTTTTCAAAAGGGCCCATACTTCATTGTTTTCTAAATTCTTTATATTATTTTTTTCCATCAAATTTGATAGAGAAAAACTCTAATCTGGATTTGAAATTTAGGTTTCTGCTCCTGAAATCCAAACCTCCAAACCTATCTTCACATAACAAGAGTTACGTGACCACCATGTACTGTAGAAAAGTTGAGGATGATTGATCACAACAAATTGAGATAACGAGAAATGTGAACTCAACCAAAATATACTATAAGCCAAACAAATATGGAAGTGTTAGCAATCTCTGTCCACTTGGACTGAGCCGAGTCACTCAGGCTCGGCAAAAGTCAATGTAGCAACTTGTGTGCGTGCTGTAGCAACTCGACAAGTGCTTGGCAGACTCGGCACGTCTGTCACAACTCACAAAGTTTGATTGATTTTCAGAAATATAAAGTAAGCAAAATCCAACTTCCCTTTTCCTCATTTCTCTCCATTAAAGCATAAGTTCGAGCCCAAATTTTGGTTGTAGTCCATAGATTAGATTTGAGAAAAAAGTGGATTTTAGGGAGATCGAAAATGTCGACCTAGCTGTTGACCGAAATGAAAAAGTTGGGATCTCTTTGCAACAATAAATCGGTCATGGATGAAATTTGTTCCCTAAGCCTGTTTTTGGGTTCTTCATCAAATCATAAGTTGCTTTCTCACAAACAACCAAAAAAAACAAAAACAGTTTTTATTTGGGATTTACTATTAGCCGACCCCAATTAATTGGGAAAAGGCTATAATGATGACGATTGGGCTTTACTATTCACCCTAAAATTACAATAGCTTAGATCAACTATATCCAAAGGCGATTCGCAAATCTGGTTTGGGGGTTTCAATTTTGAGGTGTTTTAGGATGATTTGAATGGTAGAAAATTATAATATCCCTCAGCGTTACATAATATTGTCACATAATTTCAATGGGTACAAAAGCCAATAACATCCTTTTTTATCATTTACTATATTGTATATGTTTATTTTATTTTTTCCGTTCTCTGTATTTCTAATATTTTTCCCCATTTTTTCAGGAATTTTCAGCTCTACTCGGCCAACTCCATGAAAACTCAGCAAGTCAACGTGGTACTCACTGAACTGACTCGCTCATGGAGGGCCCTGAGTTCCACCCTGAGTCCAAGTTTTCTACCATGAAATATGGAAAAGCATGCACTAAGTCAAAAGTGAAGCAACCATAAATGGAAGGGTCATAACAAAGACCACGAAAGACTCGATACAACAAAGACCAAAGACCACTAAAAACTCAATACAATAAAGACCAAAGACCACTAAGACCCATAAAAAGGAAGAATATAAAGGACATCATTGATGTCCATATCATTGTAATCGTTGCTTGTTTTCAGGTGATAGTCTCTGAATTCATGGCATGCAAGTTAATGCATGTCAACCTCCATCTGTTGGTTACAGCCATAGGACACCAGCAGATCCCAAGAAAAAGACACTAGTAGATCTCTAAGTTAACTTACACTCCCTCTAGAAATGTGGGTCAAATATGTTGATAGAGCGGTAACAAGGCATATGATATAGTCAAAATAATCCCACATTTGAACACTTAAATTTAGATCATGCATGGCGACCATGCTTTCATCATCAGAAAAATATGGTTGTAGGGGTACTATCAGCAGAAGCAATCAAGTGTCTGCTTCAGGCTAGAAGCTTAAAGGCCCCATCCTTTACCATAAAAGTAATAAAATCACAAACAGAAATGGAATTGTTTTGCCCATATTTCTTGTTGATATTACAACAGTTTCCACATCTCTACGTAAGATAATGGTCAGAGAATGTCATTCTAGGATCTCAGGTTAAGAAGATACTTGTTTTTGTTGTTGTTGATCAATGATTCAAAATGACAGTTTTGGTTTACTCAACATGACATTGATGTAGCTTTACTGAGGAAAGGCATAAGGGAGGGGAATGTTCAGAACATCAGATTTTCGATGACTTATCATCATCATCAGAGCCTTTTCCTATTTGGGGTCGGTTATACGAATCCCGGTCCACCATTTTGCTCTATCAAGGACCATACCCTCAACACGACCATTAGTCTCTACATCTATCCTCACTACTTCCAACCATGTTCTTTTGGGCCTACCCCTTGCCTTTTTAAGCCTTTCACTTGAACCAACTTGCACCTCCCAATAGGTGTTGCACCTAACCTACGTTGTACATGGCCAGCCCAATAAGTCTACTTTCTCTCATCTTATCGCCTATTGGAGCCACATGTAAGTTCTCCTTAATATATTCACTTCGAATTTTATCCCTTCTTGTACTGCCACTCATCCATCTCAACATCCTCATCTCAGCTACACTCATCCAATGGATATGTTGTTTCTTGACTGCATTCCGCTCCATAAAGCAAAGCTAGTCTCACAGTTGTCCCATAGAATTTTCCCTTCAGGTTCATTGGTATACGGCGATCACATAAAACTCCAATTGTACATCTCCACTTGCTCACCCAGCTCTAATTCTATGTTCGACAACTTCCTCAATCTCTCCATTTTCTTGGATTCTCGACCCAAGTTATCGAAAGTGCGCTCTTTTTGATATTTTTTAGCTGGCAATCTTAACTACTTCCTCATCTTTGTGCCTATTATTACTTAACTTGCATTCCATATATTCCACCTTATTTCGGTTAATTTTAACACCTTTAGATTCTAGAGCATTCCTTCGAAGTTCTAACTTTGAGTTGACGCCACTTTGGATCTCATCGATCAAAACTATATCATCCGCAAACAACATACACCACGGCACCTCATCTTGTTGGTGCCTAGTTAAATCGTCCATAACTAATACAAAGAGGTATGGGTTCAATGTTGACCCCAGCTGTAGGCCAATTGTTACTGAAGACTTACTCATCCTCCAACTAGTTAGCGCTCCCTTGTACATATCTCTCATCAAGTCGATATAATATCTAAAGACTCTTTTCTTTTCTAACATCCACCAAATTAAATCTCGAGCTACTTCATCATAAGCTTTCTCTATATCAGTAAAGACCATGTGGAGGTCTTTTCCCTTCACCCTAAACTTCTCAATAACTTTCCTAAGTAGGAAACTAGCCTCAATTGTTAACCTCCCTGATATAAAACCGAATTGGTATTCTGATACACTAGTTTCATGCCATAGTCATTGCTCAATCACTCTTTCCTACAACTTCATAGTGTGGCTCATAAGTTTGATCAGATTCTCAATGACTATAGAACTTAATCTCAGGCAATGGAGTCATGAATTTAAGCTTCTACAGCAGTGTCTTCCCCCATTTGATCATCTCTTTGACATCATACTAGCACATGCAAGTTAGTTTATGATACACTAGTTTCATGCCATAGTCATTGCTCAATCACTCTTTCCTACAACTTCATAGTGTGGCTCATAAGTTTGATCAGATTCTCAATGACTATAGAACTTAATCTCAGGCAGTGGAGTCATGAATTTAAGCTTCTACAGCAGTGTCTTCCCCCATTTGATCATCTCTTTGACATCATACTAGCACATGCAAGTTAGTTTATGATTAATAACTCACCTAGTCAGCAACATTATCCATTTATAAGCATTGATTTTCATGTGGAACAATCTTCTCAATTTGTCCATCCCTAAAGCAATCAAAATTTCACTTCTCTATTTACAGAAGAACCTTCCATCATCTTTATCTCATCAATGTTGACCTGTGGGATCCTGCACTCGTTTCTTCCATCATGGATTCATGAGATTTATGTAATTTACACAACACAAGATTTATTGTGGGGATGTATTTTTCAAGTATAGATGGATCCAATGCTTTCCTTATCATATTGGTATCTAAATACATCGCGACCAACATGTTACAAAAATACAAATTGATGCTAGTGATGGATTAATTCCACCTTGGCCAGCTCCAAGTTGGTCATGCCGAGCTAGGAGGGTTGTGTTAGATAGGCAGCCAGTTTTAAACTTTACCATATCTTATTCATGAGTCCTGAAGGGCACGGCTATTCATGGAGCAAAATGGCGGAATAGGATTCAATGTCTTAAGCAAAGTCACTTGCAATGATTTGATTGCCCACACCACTCTAGGTCACTAATCAGAATGGGTTGGCCAAATACAACCATCTTCATATCTCACAAATGGCTAGATCTATAATGCTGCGTAATGAAGTTCCCACAAAACTAATGGACTGATGCTTTTTTTTTGTAAAGTTTTCTTTATTATTAATAACCTTCTATCAAGGATTTTTTATGGTGTACCTCCTTCCTTGCTTATGCTAATTTTAAAGGTTTTAAAGTGTGTTCCTTCACAGGTGCAGCTGGTTGAACGACCAGTATGCTGGCATGGTGGGTTTGGTTATTATAACCTAGTCCTCTTGGATAATGAAGCATGCTTTACTCAAATTACGTTTTTAATGTCAAATTTATTTGCATAATTTTTTTATTTATATTACAATTTATTTATATTTATTTAATATCAGTATGTTCTAAAAGGGCTAGGGGAAGGCCCTAAGGGCATGGAAGGAAGTTGTGAGAAGAAATATAGTAACTTATGATCTGACTGAGGGTATGACCCATGATAAAGCGGAATGGCAGAACAAAATTCATGTAGCCGACCCTAAATAGTTGGTATAAAGATCGGATGATGATGCTGATGATTTACAATTTCCATAAAAGTATCCTATATCGAAGTGAGGGGTGTATTATGTCGACTCAGACACATGAGGCATATACAAGAATCCATGCATAATTGTATTACATTATAAAAATGGTTTCATTGTACAAATGACCCTGTATAAACAATTCTTTTGCTGTCATGTCAAAATCCCTTGCATATGTTGGGCACTGACACCCATATACATATCCATGAAATTCTAGGTACTGACAATATTACTACCCAAAAGTGGACATTAAACCAAAACGAAGTTTTCTAGTGATGCAATGCAATCACTTTAGGTTACACTTGTCAGCAGCATGCTCGTAATTCTACATTCAGTCAGCATAAATGCCTCCTATTTCCCTGGGAAGCTCATTCAACAATATCAATCCTATTACTTGAATCATTAGTTGTCTTCATCAGAAATAGTGAAGCTCAAGAACATGCTTCTTTTATAGAAGCAAAGTCCAGAAAGGAGGATTACCTGCCTGATAAAAATAATATTCAATTTGTGGTCCCTAGCCCCAAAAGTAAACTTAATTGGGTGCACAAAGATGCACAAAGGGAAGTAATAATTTGATGGAACTAAATAAAAATTTATGGCCAGCAAAACAAAATTACATGCACAGTATGAATTAGAATGAGAAATTGAGAAAAATAGTTAAATAGACACAGCAAGAGCAACCTTGCCAAGTCTCAATTCATTGGATTGCATAACAGACAAACATAAGCAAACGACACTTTCCTTCATGGAGAGTATAACATGATGTACATAGGGAACAACCATCTGATCTTAATTAGATAGAGAGCCATAAGATTTGTAAATTAATGAAGGTGGTTCTGTGGATTGAAAAAACTCAATAGGACGTGATTTCACTCTTCTCATGATATCAACAGACAGGCAGGGGAAGTATGTGTAATAAAGTGCAGCATAAAAGTCTTTATTTACAAAAAATTTCACAAAAGTATATCGATGTTTATGATATCATTATCATATGAAGAAGTGAAGAACCACAAAAAACATTCAAGCCCAGAATATTATATTAAACAAAACATTTGACATGGGCCCCTGGGAGCTGAGCTATTATCTTAGCTTGGAATTTGAATGATGTTCTCTTCAATTTTCTTATGATAACAAATTCTAAATTGGATTTTGTTTGTAAAGATCACATGACATGGTGCATAACTGTAGTAATCCAGCTGAGATAAACAAAATAAAAGCAAGAGAGGAAGATTATCTTCTGTCCATCTTGCAACAAAAGCAAGATTGGTGATCTACGATAATTAACCTTCATTATGCCAACATTGCATTTGTTGTGAAATGAATATGACACTTTCTGCATAACCCATATAAACTGCACGGATATTAACTTAGGCAATATTCGGGCAACGAAATGCGATAGACTGCTGTATCCCAATTTTAATTGTGACGGATCACCGAATAATAGAAGATCAAACTAGACGCTTTAGGATAACTTTTAGGTAAGTGTACGAGGCTAAATACAAAACCATGCCGACTATTACTACCGAGTTGTCATGGATACAAATCTTATGACTTGGACAATCTTGTGGTGATCAGCATCACCATCCGATCATCAATATATATAATTTAGAAAAAATTTGAATGATGGTTGGAGATATTTTAGAAAATCCATAAAAAGAGGAAAATAAAAAAATGGGGAAAATGAAGAAAAAACTCACAAATCATTGTAAAGAAAAAGGGGAAAAAAGAGGAAAAAATCACAAATGATTGTAAAAAGAAAAAAGAAAAATCAAAATTACAAACATTTAATTTTCATACATTGATTCCTTATTTTTATACATTTTTTACTGTTTTTTTTTCTTTAGGTGGCTTGAGTTGTACTCGACTTGGCAAGGAGCCAAGCCCGAGTAGCTCTGCCGTGTTCTGCAACATCGGTTTACAACTAACAAAGCACAAAGAACTCATCTGGACCAACATGCACATTGGAATTGAACCAATTTCAAAATGTAACAAGGATGTGCTACTCAGAAAAAAAAAAGATTAACAAAAAAGCGTATAAAGAGCAGAATCAATAACTAAAGCAGAGACTAGAAAAGAACAAAAATAAGAGACCAAAGGTAGCATATTTGATACCAATAAACTAAAACAAGTTAATTTATTGGGGAAGACCTTAAATTCCAGCCCAATTAGAAATTAAATGTTAAAGAGGATATTCACATACCAGTCAGTAGGTTAAAGGGAAAATTTGTGTGTTTGGTTTGGGGAGAATACCACTTGATGCCATTCAGTGAGAGGCTCGTGTAAGCTGAGGACCTGATGAAGATCAGTTTCCATGAGCTCGGATACAATGTACACGTCGTTGAATTTCTCCCTCTGCGGCGACCGTATGATATCTCTGATCCCGATAATCTAGAGAGAGAAGCAAATAAGCAAAACCCATCTCTTGTTTGAATAGGAAAGTGAGCAGATGCTCAGAATTTTCACGATTTTTGGAGAGAAAGAGAGAGAGGGTGCTTACATTTTCATGGCCACTAAGATGGGCGTTGAGCTTAACTTCCCGATATGTGAGCTTGGCACGAAGTCCGTTTTGAAATGCATTCTCAATCTTCTTGATGGCAACTCTTATCTGTCTTTCTGAATCCATGGCAGAACTGCATATTCATAAACCAGTAATACTGAGATATTTTTTGCCATTTCTCAACCGCAAAACTAAGTCCGAAGGGCTTCTTTATGGAAGAGTCCAAAATTAATAAATTCTGCATAATATATGGAAAAAAAAAATTTATATAAGGTTGCGTAGAGCTACGGATTTACCTAAAAATCGATCAGACAATTGTAGTTTTAATGTTGAAAAACCTTTTAATTGATCAGCTCGACATCGAGACTTCTGATCATGAAAAATAAAAAGATTTT